GTAGTACTTACACTTCAATAAAAAACCCACAGCAGTGAGTCTCCGAGCCCAGGTCAATTGACTCAGGCTCACAGGGCTCAGGCTAAACATTGCATTGTCGATGTTCAGGCACAGACGCAATGATTATTCACTCTGACCGTTAAAAAAAATATGCCTTATTTCTAATTTGAATTGCTGAGTTTAACTTGGCAGCTGGCATCTTGCTGTGAGATGCCACATATGGGAATTTCACAGAAGGCTTCTTTAAAAAAGGAAGATTTCAGAAGTGGTTGGCTGACACTAATGAGACTTAGGGCTAGTCTAGACACTACCGTGCTACATCGGTGCAGCTGCACCGCTGTCGTGCCTCTGGTGAAGACGTGCTATGTCAGCAGGAGAGCATCTCCCACTGACTTAGTACTGGTGTGGACAGCGCTTAGATCAGTGTAACTTGCGTAGCTGGGGGGGGATGGTTTTTCACATCCCTGAGCGATGTAAGTTACATCAACCTAAGCAGTAGCGTTGCCAAGCCCTTAGATCAACAAACGAGTGACAGTAAAGCAAGCAAGCAGTGAATCCTCCCTACTTAAATTAATACATTTCCCATGCAGATTTAAACCTGTTCACATAAGAGTTTTGAGTCTCATGCTACCTTTAGTTAATGGATTTAGTCCTTTAGCTCAAGCAGCTGAATATATTCTTTTAATACTGAAGCTCCTGCTTCAAGCTCACTCCCCCGTCAGTCTTTGTGAGGGTGGGATGCTTTAGACCAAGAGAAACAACAGCCACATAAGATATTATTAATTGATTAATATTGTTATTATGAAGGCTGACATACAGTGCCTAGAGAATGTGGCATGTAAAGGACCAAGCCAGCTCACATTACCATCAATGGCAAAACGTCCATTTGTTCAACAGAAACAGGTTGGGCACCCAGCCAGATTGACAGGGTCTGGCCCCAGCCTTTAACCAGTGTCCTGTGAGTCCCCCTTTCCTGTGCAGACCCCCAGAATCCACGCTGTCCTGCAGGGGCAGGCCCAGGGCTGACACAACTTTGGAACGGGGCCTTCGGGCTCCAGCAATCCCTGGCTCCCTGCAATGAGTCCAGCTGAGCCAGGCTCCTATGGGAGACTTTCTAACCCTTCAGAGTGCAATGCTCTCAGTGTCACAACAACACCAGGCAGCCTTTTCAAGACAAGGTAGCAATTTGTTAGTTACCTGGCATATGGCATCTGAACGTCTTTGGGTTATCGTGAGAGGATATGGGTCCTGTTGATAGAAGCCAGGGCTTCTCATGCCCTGCTTCCTCTAGTCCCTCCTAGAATCATAGAAGATTAGGTTTGGAAGAGACCTCAGGAGGTCATTTAGTCCAACCCCCTGCTCAAAGCAGGACCAACCCCGCCCTCACTAACCAATCCCTCACTCTCTTTATCTGCTTTTGTCTCTCAGTCTCAAAAGACCCTCTTAAGAGCTGTCTGTCCACACTGGACACTTCCCCCCGGCTTTGTTTCTCGTCTTTTCTTCTCTGTTGCCGTGCAGTGTTGGAAGGAGTCTCCTCTTCTTGGCTAGGTGTTAATGTCCTAGCCACTGGGGTTTCCATTGTCCCCCCCAGATTCTCCTTTCACTTGGGTGGGGCCTAGCTAGCCTTTCTGAGGCCGTCTGTTTCCAGCTCAGAGGGGATGTCTACATAGCGTTTCGGAGCCCCCGGCAGTGAGCCTCCCAACCCAGGTTGACAGATGTGGGTTAGCAAGGCTCTCCCTAGCACTCTAAACCCCCCCCCCCCCGTGTGTAGACAGCACTTTGAAGCTGCTGTTCGGGGTAGAGCTTGGCCTTGAAGCTTGAAGCTTTTGAAGCCCCTGAGTGTTGGTTATCGGTGCTGGGCACCTTGCAGGATTAGGCTGTTAAGGCACAGCATTTTGTTCATCATTTAACACAACCTTAATTTGTTATAAAAATTCATTAGAATTCACCCCTCTTAAAGGAGCATTGTCATCCCACTTTGAACCAGGTGTTGGCAACTATATTTGCAGCTAGCATATTAATAATATGTACCATATTTATATATTAGTATCAATTAAGCACAAATAGTGTCACAGTGATTTAGCCTAAAATGATTTATGCCATAATCCTGTTCACTTCGGCCAGGTATCCCATAGCTCCTTGCGTTTTCTGAAGGAAGCATTTGGCATAAACGGATGGGAAACTTGTCAAAAATCAAGCTACATTAGTTCTATATCTTAGTACAAGCTAAGGCAGTACCTTCACAGAGTAATACCTGGAATGCTAATATCCAAAACAAAGCTAAGGAAGGAACAGACCAACAAGTTAGGAAACAGGGACAACCTGATGGTTTGTATTTTAGTGCTGTGTAAAGTGATGTGTAACTTTTAAAAATCATACAAATAATATCAGCTGAAATGTGTTACTTGGGGAGCACATCATCTGTGTAAGGTGAATGTAACATTGCTGCACAGGCTTGGTCTTTGGAGACTGGTATTGTATAGGACCTTTTTGCTATACTATATTAATAAACTTGACTGACATTGTTTAGTTGGTCCCTTGAGTATATTTTGTAATGAACCAAAGTATGATCAAGGAATTGACTATACAATTTATCAACAATGGCCTGATGGTTTCAGCATTTAGTTAGCAGGCGAAGACATTTTTCATTTCATTGACACTCTCTTTGTGGGGTGAAAAATGTGTGTGTTTATTTGGGGACTAATTTGGGGTGGGTGGGTAATGAAAAAGCATGTAAAATGTAACACCAAAGCACTAGACATTTCCTTTCCTTTAGCAGTCATGGTTATGCACACTCTGTGTGCTCGGATCAGTCCCCCCTTAGTGCCCGTTCATTCGTATTAAAGCACCTCTGTTTCTGGTCAAAGCCATTTGTACCTAACTCTTTGGACAAACACATGTCTGGCGCTCTCAAGAGATTATTCCCCAGCCTTGGGGGATTGTTCAAAGTGAAAGGTAGTGATGGATGGCCACAGCTGTGTGCTCAAGGAAGGGTTTGCTTTGCTTTGAAACAGACGTTCAGCTGGGAATCATTTTTGTCATCTAAAGTTATTATAGTGTATAATTATGAGATGCCAAATGTCGCACTGTCTAGCCTGATTATGTATTTTCTTATGTCACCACCCATTCTTTAGTCATTTGCATAGAGAAATTATTTTTAGTCTTTGTGGTCTGGTTTTAGGCTGTTCTACTGTGGGAACTAGTAGTAGCAGTCTCCCTTTGCTAGGTGGGACTCCCAGTAGGAAACTGCCCAATTGAGTGCAAAGGCCTCCTTCTATGGAGCAGATTACTTTGCTTGGCCAATGTACACACTGAAGCACAATGCAGTTGAGGGAAGGACTGTTCAGGCCCAGCAAGTGTTTTAGGAGCCTGTCACTGTCTTACGCAGCTGTGTGTGTGTGTGTGTGTGTGTGTGTGTGGTAGGAATGCTCCTCCTTCATGCTGAATTAGGGCCATATGGAACTGCACTCTGTGTGGACCACCTGACCCCACCCTTATTTGTGTGTGACATCCCACATCCCCTCCACATTCCACTCTGAAGACCCACTGGAGATGTCATTTATGTATCATGCAGAGGAATACAGGGTCCGTCTGGATGAGCTTATCCCAGTGCCTGGGCAGAAATACCTCACTACATTGGAGCCTTACACATCTAGGTGTAAGGGGACTGCTGGCCCTTACTGAAACTCAGTGGGGTTTGTTCTTGTTGGCTACCGCCCAGTACCAAAAGGTTGGGGACGGGTGGATGGGAAATCAGGACCCTGAGACTGACAGTCCCCAGGAACATTGGGGAGAGGTCAATGCTCCAGGTCAGCCTGATTGACAGGGTTGGCATGCTAATAAGGGAGTCAGGAGGCCAGGGTGGTTCCGTCCTCTGTGTGAGCAGGAATTGCCTAGGACCTGGGTCAGCCCAGGGAGCAGGTCAGTGCTGGAAGCAGAGTCACAGCAGCAAAAGCCAGAGAAGCAGCCCAGGAAGCTGGAGGCAGAGCAGCAGCACTGCTGACACAGGGTGGAGCTGGAGCTGGGGCTGGAGCAGTCCGGAGCTGGGTGCGGTGAGCAGCTGGGCAGAGCGAGGGGGGGACCCTGGGCAGGGGGACCAGCACAGGGAGACGTCCCCAGCCAAGAGGCCTTGCAGGCCAGACTTGGAGGAGGAGTATAACCTTGATGTGGGAGGGAGGCTGACGCTGGGAAGGAGGGTCCTGGCACCTAGAGCCTGAAGCCATGTGGCCACCACCAGAGCAAGTGTCCGACCTGCAGCATCCCTGCAGCGCAGCACAGCCAGGGCCTGGGCACGAGGCCTGGGACTTGTGAGGAACAGACTGAACTTCCCTTACACTTCAGAGATGGTGGTTGTGATGTCCCCATGCCACAGAGCAGGATGATGCATTTTCCTTTCACTTTTCCCATTTTTTCCTTATTTTTTAAAATTGATTTCTGTTTAATACATTGTATTTGCTTTGAATGGTATGTAATGATCAGTGGGTCACGGAAGTATCCAGTGCAGAGAGAGCACCCCACAGTTGGGACACCCTAGCCACTGCCTGAAGTGACCACGACAAGGTTGCGGGTCGAGCCCCCCAGGAGTCCTGGGCCCAGCCTTGTTGGGGTTACGAGGACTCTGCCACACAGGAGAGTGGAAGGGGAGCCTTCAAGGTCAGGCAGGCCTCTGGGTAAAGGGAGTGGGAGTGAGGACTCAGATCCTTTCGCTGCCCCATTTCACCAGGGTAGTGTATAAGCCAGGAAAGTTCCCCACAACAGCGGGACCCCCGTTTACATATGTAAGGCAGTTTGGATCTTGGCTCACTGAAAATACACCCCTTAGGGTCAATGGAACAGATGGACAGGTCCTGACTGGTGTAAATCAGTGTAGCTCTATGGGATTCAGTGAAGCCACATCAATTTATACAGCTGAGGATCTTGCCCAACATGTAACGAATCTCCCAGTTGTTTGTTTGTGACACAGTCAGTCAACATTTTATAACTCAGATAAAAACAGAAACTTGGCCTTTCTTCTTCTTCTTTATTGTGAATGTTGAAATGTCATGTAGTTTTAACCTAAAGGTGAACTGATTAGACAGAGAAGTCAGATAACTGGAAGACCCTTCCTGGACATTTGTTTACAGCAAAGCAGTTCAAATAAGAAAATGCAGCTTGAAGGAAAAAAAAAAAGAAGAGTTTAGTCAATGTTGGAACATACAAGAATACAAGTGTTTAGGTATTTTACACAAAAGTAATCTTGTTTACACAAAAGAAACCTTGTTGGTTAGCTGTTACAATTGAGTGCTTGTGAAACATAGTCTCTTAAGGATACTATTTTATTCCTTCAAGGTTGGAAGATCTTCACTTCAGCTTGGAGTGCTTTCTTTCCTATTCATAACTTGAAGCAGATAATCCATCATCTAATAAAGAGAAGTAAATAATATTTACAGAACAGACTTGTCAAAAGTCACATGCTGATTCAATAAACCTAATGTATAACTGTTGTCTGCTTCTATTCCATACAACAAATACATTCCTAATACTTGCCCCCAATGTTAGCTTGCTAAAAGGCAACCAAGGTCCAAGAAAAAGAGTTATTCAAAATTATTTTCTTCATAGTCCCATTTACAGAACATCAAATGAATGTTGGAAAGTGAGTTCGTAGAAACATTTTATAATTTACTTTGGATTGCACTTGCGACAGCTTGCAAGAGCAAAACCTTAGAACAACAAGAAAAGCAGCGGCTTCAGTTTTCTACAGCTGTTCCAGATTAGTTTTAGTTTTAATTTACTCTATGTCTGAGGGGTGGGAGGGTTGGTGTTGATTTGCGGTTGTTAAATTAACTGAGGCAGAAGAATTTGACAGTAAAACAAAAATCAAAACCTTGGGGGAATGATGAGCAAGGCTGAATTGTTAGGACATGACATGCAAGAAAATAAAAATGAAGAAGCATTGTAAACTCCCTGAACAGACAGGCAAAATCTGGGGAGGAGGATGCAACAATCGGAAGAGAGAAGAATTGTGCCTAGAACACAATAGTAGCAGTGGGAGATTTCAGCTACACAGATAGAAAAAGGGACTAAATAAGCCTGATTCTTATATATGAGCCAGACATGAAACCAGAGGGACCTTCTGCTTCTTGTTTTTAAACTCTAGATACTTTTAATTTGGATTTTTAAAATGTAACATTTGAATATATACATGGAACAATGAAATTACAGCACAGTGACTATGTGTACATTATGGCAACATGCCTTTGACAATCCTATAAACCTATACCCATGCTACACACATTAACCTAAAGTATAATCTCAACAGGATCTCCTCCTGCACTTTCCTTATGGAATAAACCTATAGAATTTAATGGGATGAAACCAATAAATTTCTGTAGAAATTACTGTATGACATACAGAAAACATTACTGAGTGACAAATACTTGGTACCCACTCAGGAGGGGGCCTATCTTCATTTGACTTCATCACTTATTTGTATGTCGTACCCCTTCTCCCACCCTGTGTCTGTCTTTTGGATGGTGAGTTTTTCAAGGCGGAGATTATAGCTTTTATGTTTGGAAAATGCCTTGCACATTGTGGGCACTAGGGGAAATAAATAAAATAATAATAATGCCACTTAAAAAGAAGGAAGCCTAAGTAAATTCCACTTGGAAACAACCCTGACAAAAGGACATCTAGCAATACCGTCTTATATTCTGTAGTTTTCTATTCCTAGCTCAAAACATATAAAGTGTGTTGCTTGTTACATTTTATGTTCATACATTAGTATGAAGAGTTACTAGTAAGATTCTTGCCCCCACTAAAACATGCTTATATGTACATTCACTAGATGGCAGTCAATCGTGATGCATACTTGGATGGACCCTTGCGATGCTAACATCTCCACAAGTACATATGTAATCTACCATTATTTACAGCCTTGTAATAGATTGACCATGCAATGGTCCCAGAATAATTTATATATGTTCTCTCAGCCTGCATATACAGTCTGAAATTTTCTTTGGAACATTTACATTTAATTGCTTGACCCCAATATCAGAACTCAGCAGCAGATTCAATCTACCATGACTGATTAAACATCTCTTGATCTTTCTAGACAGTTGGCTTCCACTGAAGATTCAAATACAGCAAATGTTGGGACTTATTTCATGCGACTTACAGGCCCCATCCTGCATCCATTGGAATCAGTGGCAACAGCATTATTATAATAATAAATAAACCCTATCTGACCATCTCCCATCTAGCCATGCACAACACATTCATCATTGGGGTATCTATGCACCTTCATAGAGGTGTTCTACAGCACCACTTTAAAATGAAAGGTTTGACTAGACAAAGTCTGAGTAACTAAGACTGTATCATATACCAAAGATTCTGCAGAGATAAAATCTGCACGCAGAAGGATCCTGCAGATCTCTGATAATTACAGCTTTTATGCTCCAAGTCTCATTGGCTATCAGACCAGTGTGCCAGTTTATTATATTAGCCTCAGTTTATTATTAAGGTGCCTAATTATTGTTATTATTTAAATAGTATCATAAATGCTCAGGGAATTTGAAGCACATAAGATCCCTGGGGTCTCCATATCTGTAAGAGCAAATCTCAGAAGATGGGAAATTTCCACTGACTCCAGGAAGCGTTCGCTCAGAGCCTAAACAGATTGCTTATGACAAAAACAGAAGCTCTTTGTAATACTACCATTGAAAAATGCAAAGCAAAATCTCCTTTCATGTGTGCCCTAACCACTGGGCTATTGAATATTCTGAGGGGGGTGGGAGGGCTCAGTCTCTCCTGCTGAAGCTGTTCCATTTGGATTAAATAGAGTCATTTGTGGGGGCCAGGTTGGGGGGTTGGAGGAGAGCACAAGCATGAGAATGACTCCCTACCTTGGTGGTTACAGCACTCACCCAGCATGTGGGAGACCCAGTCCCCCCACTCCAATAGTTCTTTCATTATTTATACACATTGGAACACCTTCAACAGGAGAGACACAGGGAGTTCCCTATATCAGACTATCCCTATTCCCAAAGGTTAGAGCATCACCAAAGAGGTGGTAGATTCCTGTTCAAATCCCTTGTCTTACTCAGGTGGAGGGGGGACTTGAACTGGGCTTCTCCCACATCCCAGGTGAGTATCCTAACCACCTAGCTAAAAGTTACAAAGGAGGTCCTCCTCCCTCCCTCCCTGCAGCTGTTCTGGGTGAACTCGCATGCAGGACCCAATCTGCCTCAGAACATGCCTACAGGCTTGGGCCTGGCAGGAGAGTTAGGCAGCCAGGTGCATCTCGCTGGGGCTCAGGATGCCAGATACCTAGAGTGAGGCAGCCCTGTACCTGCGCAGAGGCAGAAACATAGGCACCCAGGGAACTTTTACCCAGTGAGTTTAGGCACCTGCATGTTTGGCAGCTGCTGAATGGGGTTTTTGTGGTTCTCAATGGGGCCTGATCCTGGGATTTAGGAGCCTAAAATGGCAGTTAGATTCCTAAGTCCCTTTCTGAATCTAGCTCCAAATTCCCATTTTGTGATAAAGTGAAATTTGTTTTGAGTGGCAGAAGTTTATCAAGGTTAGGTCATAACATCAAAGGACAGAAATAATATCAAGTGATACAGATGGCCATTCATGTAGCTCAAATATTGAAAGGGGAATACTGACAATTCAAATAAATCAGCTAGCTAATGAGAAGCAGATTGGGCAGTAGTTGGGGATATCTTGTTTGTTTGTTTTTAAAAATACAAAACCACTGAGTTTGAACATAGCTCACCTACATAACCATCATGTAATCTTTTTATCATCACCCTTAATCTTCCTCCCTGATGGTTCCCTCCTATTGTTTGCAGGAGTTTTCAGATTACATTGTGAACTCTTCAGTGCAGGGACTACATCTGGTTGTGTGTTTGTTTGGCAATGATTGGGGCACTTTTTATAATACAAATACATCACAATACTTGAAAAAATATACACATCAAATAGTTTTCACCCAAGCCATAAGCTGAAATTTACAAAATATATGCTGAGCTGTTCTAAATAAATACACCCATAAAAGGTATGCTCTATTCAGTGACAATTTGCGATCAGGAGTAAGGGATAAATTCACTGAATTAGTTGTTCTTTACAAAATGTTTGACCAGCTCTACCAACAATCCCAGAGTGAGGAGCTAATTTGTTTTTTAAAAAATCAGATTTACAGTACCTTCTTGTTTTAAACTTACATCTTTAAAGCTGCTGTCATCATCTGTCTCCCAAGTGTTCTTGGTATACCATGGAAGCTCTTCCCTTAGGGTCTGAGCACTTCTGTTTTCATTTTCTTCTAACAGCCTTAGCAAATTCTTCAGTGTTTCTTCCCATTGCAAGTAATCTCCCAGCTGCTTGACATTTTCAGGTAATGCTGAAAATGGGATCTTGTTTTCTTCTTCATAAACATAGGGAAAATCTCCAGTGCTCTTTTTCCCCATTAAATGTCCTATAAAAATAATCAGAATATCATGACATTAACCAAAAAATAATTAGCGTGTGAGTGTGGATGTCCAAAGCCACATTCTGATTGGCCAGTAGACCCTTTTGGATGATGTCACACCAACTCAGAGTCACACACACAAAAGTCCCCAGGCCCATTATATTAAATGGGCGGGGCGATATGTTGATGAGAAGAGGATAGATATAATAAGCCACCAAGAGAGGCAACTGAGAGCAGGAGTGAGTGTGAGCAGGTGAAGGAGAGGTTGAAAGTTTTATTTTCTTCCCACCCAAGCTTCCAGTTCAGCAGCAGAGTGTGGCTTTTCCTACCACTTTTAACTGTAATTTTTATGGCAAAAAGCTACATTGGATAGGCTTCAGTATTCCAGGTGTTGTTTTTATGAAAGTGACATTGAAATTGGCCGTGGTCCACAAACTAAGGGCACTGTCTACACTGCAAAAGAGAAACGCTGCTGGGGACAACAACCTGCAAATGATCGTTGTGATAAGTGGAGCGAAAGTCAGGGCAAGGCTTTCAGGAAATAATAATAATAAGTATCAATTGGGGCTCATTGCCCCTTGGATCTCACTCTCCAATATACATTTTGAACTCAGAAATAGCGCGATATGTTACCATGATTAACTCTTCCCAAGGGTCAAGCTCTCCTTTCTTATTCCCCACAGTAGCGCCTTTCTTCCCCCGGTCGCTATCAGCGCGAATTGCAAGCTTTCGATTCCCTTTGACTTTTGCAAAGATGTATTATTAGTCTGTGGTCACCGGAGCTGTTTTTAATTCCGTTTCCACCTCTTGCCATGGCTGATAGGAACGAGCCAGCGCTCTGCGGCTTTCGATGGGGGAAGCAGACCAAAGGAAACAATTCTGCCCCTGTGTCAAGCACCCCAGCCCGCAACCTCCCTGCCTCCGGGGAGCGGCAATTTAGACACATAGATAAGCCTACAAACCAATACTACAAAATGGAAACAACACACGCGCTAGGGGAGTGAAGAGAAACGAGGCCACTCTGGGAGTCTAGTGACTAGCTAGACAGACACTATCAGCTTCCAAATGAAACCGCATCCTCCTCCAGGGTCAGTAACACAAAAGGGCCTTGCTGGCCATGGAAATCAGGGGCTGGAGCCAGCTCGTCCGCCTTGAAGAAGAGCTCTGTGTAGCCCCAAAGCTTTTCTCTCTCACCAGAGGAGCTGGTCCCATGAAATATATCACCTCACCCACCTGGTCTTTCTAGGGAGAAGGAATGATCCAAAGAATGTATTTGACTCCTTTTTCATTACACCTGCCCCTGGTTCCCTGTCCCACAAGGCGGCTCTGATGGATTTCACTAATGCCTCCTGCCAACTATTCTGATGGAAGAAAGCTCCTCTCTTGTCACCTCCAGCCCACCTCACTGCTCTGAGTAAAGTGAAAAGAAAGGAGTACTTGTGGCACCTTAGAGACGAACCAATTTATTTGAGCATAAGCTTTCGTGAGCTACAGCTCACTTCATCGGATGCATACTGTAGAAAGTGTAGAAGATCTTTTTATACACACAAAGCATGAAAAAATACCTCCCCCCACCCCACTCTCCTGCTGGTAATAGCTTATCTAAAGTGATCAGTCTCCTTACAATGTGCATGATAATCAAGTTGGGCCATTTCCAGCACAAATCCAGGTTTTCTCCCTGTGTATGTGGGAGGTGGGGGGGGGGGGGCAGAGAAAACCTGGATTTGTGCTGGAAATGGCCCAACTTGTTTATCATACACATTGTAAGCAGAGTGATCACTTTAGATAAGCTATTACCAGCAGGAGAGTGGGGTGGGGGGAGGTATTTTTTCATGCTTTGTGTGTATAAAAAGATCTTCTACACTTTCCACAGTATGCATCCGATGAAGTGAGCTGTAGCTCACGAAAGCTCATGCTCAAATAAATTGGTTCGTCTCTAAGGTGCCACAAGTCCTCCTTTTCTTTTTGCGAATACAGACTAAGAGGGCTGCTACTCTGAAACCTGAGTAAAGTGAGGTTTAGATGTATTATTATTATTATTTTCCTAGTGCCCCAGGCATGGACCCAGGGACCGCTTTGCGCTAGGAGCTGTACAAACACAGACTACAAAGATGGCCCGTGTCCCGCACCTGGCTCCAGGAGAGAACGGCCGAGGTCTGGCCGCGAGAAGCAGCCGCGGAGCCCCACCCTCCCTGTCCTCCGACGGGCTGGTTTTACCGCTCTGCAGTGTGCAGGGCATTCCAGGAACAAAGCGGCTTCAGATCAGTGCTGCTCAGCGCCCCTTGAAGCCACGGGGAGCCCTGCCACGGACTGCAGGTATCATCTTAAATGAATCACACGGGTTTAAAGGTAGCATCGCTCTTCTCTTGGCTTTCAGTGGCTGTCGCGGGTTTGCTCTCGAGCTCAGCCATTGCACGGGCCAATTGCACGCGGGCTCCTTTTCTTCCCGAATTCTGGGTGTGTTGCGGTGACACTGATCCGTGTGTGTGTGGGGGGGGGGGGGGGGGGGGGTCCGCTTTTCCAACAGGGATTCCCAGCATCCGACGGCGCCTATCTTTGCATGTATTCATCATTATAATTCACGGGCCCCCCATGTAAAAGTGCATCTGTCTCGTCAGATCGCCTGCTTTCGTGAGCCGGAGGAGAATCAGCGCCCTAAGCCAAACGGCTCTCTGAACGCAAAGCGCATCTTCCCCTCAGTGAGATAGCCTGTGTCACGCAAAAACCAAGCCCACAGGCTAGTAAAGTCTGGGCTGCGGTGCTAATTAACAAGAGGCTTGGAACTCAAGCCATCAATCGCTCCCTAGGCAGACACATGGTCGGGCGGGCAGGTGGACGGATGTTACTGGGAGGAGGATCGAGCTAGTCCGAAGTTTCTAGCAGGACCATGAAGCGCTGCAGCGCCTGGAGAAAAGCCCCCCTTACCCCCAATAAATGTTACAGCGGGGTCCGGGGCTGCCCCGGTCTCCCTGCGCGGCGCGGACACTTACCCACCGCCCAGTGGCTGCCCCTGGGGTAGATCTTGGCCAGAGGGGAGGCTCCGCCGTTGGACTGCAAGGGAGCCGCGGCGCCCCAGTGCACCTCGAGCAGGACCAGGGCGAAGAGGCCCAGCGAGAGGAGGGAGCGGGGCTTCCCGAGGAGGAGGAATTCGCAGCCCCCCATGGTGCGCGGCGCTGCACGGGCGAGTCCGGCTCCTGGCTGGAGGGAGGGAATCCGCTGCTCTGGATCTGCGGGGCCAGGTGCTGCTGCCGCCTCTGCTGCCTCCGCCAGCGCTGACCCGAATTTATAAGGAAGCGGGACGAGGTGACAGCGAAGTTCAGGCACCTGGCGCCTCCCCCAAAGGTGGCTCTGGGAGCGCGGGGGCTGCGGAGCGCTCAGCCAGCCAGAGCCACACCGCACCGGCAGGCTCCCTGCGGCTGGGGATGGGCGGCGCATCCTTTGCGAGCCCTCGCCGGCCCCCTCCCTGCTGGCTGGGGCAGGACTCAGGATTCGCCTTCCAAATGGACCATTCAACCACCCCCAACCCGCAGCCTCGGCGTGACAGTCTCTGGGGAGCGAGTTACTGCGCGCTTGGGTCCCCCAGTTATCCGACCCCCAGCTCCCACCCCCAATATCCCCGCCTCTGGGGAACATGGCGCGCAACTGTATCAGACACCCCACACCCCAATATCGCCGCCTCTGGGAAGCATGGAGCGCAACTGGGATGCCTCTGTATCAAACACCCCACACCCCAATATCCCAGCCTCTGGGGAGCAGGGGGTGTTACTGGGGTTCCCCTGTATCAAACACCTCACACCCCAATATCCCAGCCTCGGGGGAGCAGGGGGTGTTACTGGGGTTCCCCTGTATCAAACACCTCACACCCCAATATCCCAGCCTCTGGGGAGCAGGGGGTGTTACTGGGGTTCCCCTGTATCAAACACCTCACACCCCAATATCCCAGCCTCTGGGGAGCAGGGGGTGTTACTGGGGTTCCCCTGTATCAAACACCTCACACCCCAATATCCCTACCTCGGGGGAGCAGGGGGGTTACTGGGGTTCCCCTGTATCAAACACCCCAGCCACACCGATATCCTCGCTTCTAGGGAGCGGGGTTACTGGGGTGCCCCTGTATCAAACACCCGACCCTGCAAATATCCCTGCCTCTGGGGAACAGGGGCTGCTACTGGGGTTCACCGGTATCAAACACCCCAGCCCCCCAGTATCCTCGCCTCTGGGGAGTAGGAGGTATTACTTGGGTTCATCTGTATCAACTACCTCAGCCCCCCACCCCAATATCCCCACCTCTGGGGAGCAGGGGGTGTTACTGGGGTTCCCCTGTATCAAACACCAAAGCCCCCCAATATCACCGCCTCTGGGGAGCAGGGGGGTGTTATTGGAGTTCCCCTGCATCAAACACCCCAGTCCCCCAATATCCCCGCCTCTGCGAAGCAGGGGGTGTTAGTGTGGTTCCCCTGCATCAACACCCCGCCCCCCACCCCCAGTGCGATATCGCTGGTTCTGGGGAATATCTGGGTGTTACTAGGTTCCCCTGCGTCAAACACCTCAGCCCCCCAATAGCCCCGCCTCTGGAGCGTATTAACCCGTTCACCCACTACTCCTACTTTTGGGTAGCAGGGGCCCTGGCATTGCGGTTTCCTTTCCAGCCCGGCTCCCAAAGTAACTCCAGGGCTCGGGAACAAGTTGCTAGTTACTGATATGTCCTGAGCACCCCCTTCCCTCCCCCGGAGGTTTCCCCGTTCCCTTGATGGACAAGCCCTTCCCTACAATTCCCAGGCCGTACAAAGCCACCACTAGTCCCTCGGCCCCTTCCCCGCACACTCATTGAACGGGGGCGCTTTGTTTCCTCTGTGGGTTGTGAGACTTGATAAGCCCTTGGATGCGCCCCCGCCAGCACGTTCTTATCAAGGCAGGGGGCGAGGAGGAGGGGGGGTATCTTTATTTACCCAGTTACTGTCGCTGATAACCACAGGGCTGTTCACACCGGGACAGGCGCCCTCTAATTGATGGCCCCCTGTCATTGTATCGTGCACGCGTCCTTACTCCAGGCTCATTTAGGCACACCCGTGCTCCCACCCACCACCTGGCCCGATTTGTCACGGGCTCACATTATCCGGTTCTATGCTGTACACTTTTAGTGCATCCTTCACGTTGTGGCTTCCCCTCCCTCGCCCCACGCACTTGCACTGCTGCTGCGGATTCTGACAGTATCTCTGTGGCTGCACGTGCCTGGCTATATTGTGTCTGGGGGTCTCTATTGTTAATTAGAGTGACTTTACACTTATCTGCTCCCTTTCACAGGTATCAAGGTTCCATACCATGGGCTGACCAGATGTTTGCTGCGTTCAGTCTGCACCCTCTCTGTGTTTGTTTTTGGCTCTCCTGTTTCACTCTCTTTTCATTCCCATTTGTGTTGCGTTCATTTTGCTGGGTGAGTTACTTAGTGTATGGGCTGTGTATCTATGTGTCTACATGTGGCTCTTGTGTTTCTGTGCCATTCACCTATAGTTGCTTTGTGTGTGTGTTGTGTTGTGTACCTAGCCAGGTATATAAGGTCTGGTGTGGTTTTATACCTGTGAAGTAGTGGTGAACAAGGGAGGCAGAATTTCATTTTGGATAACAAATTATGAATCTTGTAAGCAATGTTCCCTCTAATTTTTGACAGGCTGTGTGCGCAAAAAAATTCTTTTGCACAAATTGTTAAAGCAGAGTTCAAATTTGTGCGCCATGAGGCAAATGCACCCAAACGAGTAAAATGTGTATACATTTAAAAAGTTTTAATTTGCAATTTGTGATAATAGTTTTACACCATGTTATTTTATTAATGTCATTTTTAAATACTTAGAAAAAGGAAATGTAACCATTCTTCATGAAGCAGAAGTTAGTTTTAAGCATTATGCTTTATGATCTTTTTTATAGACAATCATGAGCATATATCAAGCACATATTAATCATGATCATTATCAGTCCATAGGCTTCTGCCTGTTGGTTTCCACTTTCACGTTTCATTCTATACACATGCCCGAAAAGATTTTGATAAACATATAATAAAGACAATTTAATACGTATGCCATTATGTCAATTTATATGGATTTTCGGATAGAGACATCATAAGTAAAAAAAAGAAAAACAAAAGTTTGTGTTTTAAATTTAAAATGTTCCTAAAAATATCAATAAATGATTATCAGCCAAGAATAATATATGTAATTACAAATACATTTTAATTTCCTTCTTGATCGAAATGTCAAAGACTGCTAAACTAACCTTACTGTTTTTCCCTATGATATTTTTCATTTGCTCATTCAATATAAACTCTGTCCAGATCTATCAGTCCTCCATCCAGCTGATAACTCTTAATACACATCAGCATGTCCAAATGATCTACTGGTAAACGATTCCATAGTTGGTTTTTTAGAGTGTTCATTAAGCTAAAACCATGCTCACAGTCTGCACTTGATGCTAGGAATGTTCCTCCAATATCCATCAACTTTGCAAGATCCTGAAACTGTTCGTTCTGGTGAGCAAATGTCACCATACCCGGGAAACTTAAAACCAATTGTCTTTTGATTCTTTTGGCTACTGCAAACTTGAAGTCATTGTACTGACTAACTATAACAATCTCTTCAGCAAGAAAGTCTTTGTATTTTGAACATAGGGATTTGACCTGATGAATTCCAAAATTGAAGTCACACTTAACTATTGCTGCACAATCAAAAGCGGACCATTCCTGGACTTCATCCTCTGGAAAACTGTCTGCCAAATGTGCACACAAGATGTTTATGAAAGTTATTATGGAACTGGTATCAATTTAATTATTTTCTTGAGAGCTCATATCTAAGAGAGCCTTAACTTTGTCACTCCATAAGACTGAATCTCCACGGTACTGTCTTCTCATCTTGTTTAGTTTACCTCGGGCAAGGTGAAATGCTTCAAGAGGTGTAAGGCCCTGTTTCTGCAGCAGCGTGGATAGTGAAGCGAGCTCCGACAAAACATCATTCAAAACTTCTAATGTTATTCGGTATTCCATGGTATTCAGCTTTTTGTGGTAGTATTTAGAAACTGAAACAATATCTTTGTCGTGATCAAAGTATTCCAGAAGAGGATTATAGTTGTGAATAATTGCTTGAAGTGCAAAGTACCTACATAACTAGCACACTTCATTGAGTGTCCTGAAAGCCATTGACTCACATTCAGAAGCATCCACTATTTCCTGAAATTTGCATTTTTTCTTGGATGACTGACAGAACACCGTGTAGACAGTTCTCTTTAAGGTTTCGATGTCTCTTATCAGCTTGACCTCTTTCCATGCATCAGAAATCCCCAAGTGCAATGCAATGTTGCTGGACTAAGTGTGGAATATCACGTTTCAGCTGAGCTGCCACGCCATTGAGTTTGCCCAACATCACGGAGGCACCATCAGATGTGAACATCACCAGTTTCATTAGATCAAGTTGGTGTTTTTTATAAAACTCTTTGATTGCAGACAGTACTGAAACAGCATCACATTCTTCCAATCATAATAGTCCACCAAACGAAGTTTTATAGTCTGCAGAATTTATGGATCTATATTTAAAGTAGAGTATCAAATATCTGTTAATGGATATATCAGTGCTTTCATCAACAGCTAGAGTATGAAACATTGCCGATGCTATTTCATGCATGAGGTCATCTTGGACTATGCAGTTGATAATTTCAAGAAATTCAAAAGAAAAATTTTTACTTCTCCAGCTTGCTGGTATGTGCACACACTTTTCCATAGGGTCATTAACATCCTGAACAGAAAGCACTGAGCTGTTCATTTTAATAGCCAACAACACACTGTCAATAAGTACCTTGATTTCTTCTGGGTTTGAGCGCTTGCGTTCAAGATTAACGTGCCTCCTCTGCTTTTCAGCTGGACTTTCAAGAATCATGCTAAGCAATCTGCTCCGTAAGGAAGGTTTTTTGTTTCTAAGTTTTGTTACATCGTCTATATGAGACTTCCTTAACAGATGACGCTTTAAGAAATCCAACTTCCATACATCGTTCCACATTCTTTCCGTTGAAAATCCTCCCGAAGCTCTGGTATCTCGAGAATATACAAAACCACTCTGTTGTCCTCATCATATGTGAATATTTCATGAAGTTTAACAAGCATTACACTATGTGACTTTGGTGTAACCGTCCTTATAGTATCATCCAGCCATCCAGATTTAAATGAATTTGGTGTTCTTTTACGCTTTAGACCTCTAGACAGTGACATTTTGGGATTGATTTTTTACCAGATTGGTTTATTTAAAATTAATACTTTTATTATATGGCTACTATTTCAATGTGCTTAACAGCGTGACTCGAAAAAAGGGCAAACAGGAAATCATTC